AGAAGATTAGCATGTTAATATTGATGGAAACGAATAAGGGAACAATAAAAAATATAGGGAAATAAGTTTTACTGTCAGTACATTTGAAGTAGCATGCATACAAATTCAACGCAATTGTCATGTCAGAATCACTTCTTTGATAGGCATTTAGAAGTTGGAGTACTAAGTAAGGATAAGAATTTATCACTTGCTTGATAACGGTGGTAGAACCTACACCGAAACGTCGCTCTTAATTGTAATAAAGAAGTTGTTCATCCATAAATTCTTATCCTTACTCAGAATCACATGTTGAAATTTGTTGATGTGCATTGTTTCCATTACGTATTCGGTAGACAAGACTGGAAACTAATGATAGTATATCATCTTACTGCGTCTATAACTGATTGTTCCCTTATTCATTTTCATCTTTATAAAACTCAGATATAAACGATGCAGAGGTCAATATTCGAGACTGAACCCTGGGCATCTTCGTGAAAGGCACCTTTCACATTAAACCCCATTTCACCTCCACAATAAATGTCTGACAGATACAAACACCAGGAAATATCTGTTATGTATTATTTCAATTCGTCTACGATTTAAGTTCAATTCTAAATGGTAATTCACATTTAACGACTGTAACAAATCTTGAAATTTTGAAATCAGTGCACAGTTATATTCTATCTTCTTGCCGATTTAGAGATTTTGTCTGAATGTTGGCTTTGCTATATGATACTGCGATGTTGTTGTGCTGGATCTAAATAATAACGTAGCTGTAGTTACGAAAGCTAATCCAGTAATTAAACACTTACAGAACAATAATTATCTTTAATGTCAATTATATAATGTATGCTATTTCTCATGTCACTTTCAATACATTGTAATTTGTATATGTATCATGTTTGGGAGAGGCATTCAGATTAGCAAAATCTGCTTGTTTGCCAATCCCTCCACTTTATAGAAAGAAATATGTTTATATCAAATATCTGTTAGATAGAATGGTACGAAATAAATATTCCCCCAACCTCATCAACTGTCATGTATGTGATGGCAAATAATCGTGCTCCTCTGTGTCTCCTGTATGTCCAGACATCACCCAAGTCGTTGGAGCCTGGAGCCTCGGGAGCCTCGTTCAACCGCCTCGTAAACAACTATCGTGAATTCAACATCGATATTATGCCATAGCTGTTCAACAGACGCTCGCTATTGTCAGGGATATCTAGCTAGATCTGGAGCCGAGGAAGTAGTTGTTCTGTTGCGCGGTCATATAGTAAACGATATATGGGTATAAATTTGATACTCGTTATTATATTGGTCACTCGTGTTTGAGCGAATGTTTGAGTGAGTGAGTGGTTGAGTGGAAAGTCGGTGGTTTGATCCCCGGTCGCGTCATACCAAATGACGTAAAAAGATGGTTATTATTGTTACCCTGCCTGACGCTCGACATTAAGGCCTAAAACAAGGATTCGGCAGTATAGTGTGCCTGAGTGGGGTACCCATGTTAAACTGCGGCATGGTATCTCAGTTGGCTAGCACTATAAAATCGTCTTTTGTTCACCTCTTCTCAAGTGACATCAGGTGATGGTGCTTGTGACAAGATGGAATTCAATAAAAAAAGGAACATTATATATCTCATCAATAGAAAAATGAACTTAATATATCTCATCAATAAAAAATGAACTTAATATATCTCATCAATAAAAGTACTCTCAAATTTAATCTGACATATCAAATGGTGCGTGGGTAGAATTATGGAGATATTTATCTGAACTGTAACAAATAACTGTGAAATGCTTCTCCGTTTCGAGGGAACAATGGTTTCATTGGAGACAGGTCTCGTCTTCTCGCCTTAAGGTGTTAACCGAAACATTAATAGTCTTCCAATTACGTGGAGCTCAGATCATGTACCCTGTGTCAAGTACAAACTCCAAAGGTTGAATTGCGAAACATGCAGTCTTGTTTTCGAACACAGACTGCATCTCTTAACCCATATGAATGTCGTTATCGGATTGGCTGAGGCAAATTCTATCATTTTTAACGTACCCGCTAACATGTCAGGAACTTTTCTTATGTTCCCCTTTCTCCGGATATGAACGATATTTTCCGAAGGAAATAGATCAAGGGGGATAACTCTAAGATAGTTTTTCTGTCGTCCGCTATAAAGTCCTAACTGGTATCTTACCGAACCGGACCGAAGTATGCATGCATAAGACATATCTGCAATATATGTCCATATTTGGACTCGGGTTACATGAACTAACAAAGAGGTCACCTAACCCATGTCCCCCTCGAAACTGAAGGACAACTTTTTATGTCCCTCCACGAGCTGTTACCCGTCACAGCTGATGCAACACTCCAAGCTTATCTCAGAAATGTCTTCACGAAACAGAACATGTGTAAACTGCCCTGATACGACTCAAAGGTATATACGTTTGATATTAGCAGTGTCAAATTATTAATCGTTTGTAATGTTATGTGGCGCGCCCTAGGGATTGTGTTGTGATGGCTTAAACATATGGATTTAAATTGCAAACAATTGCACATCAGATTAACCTCATTTCACTTGACATATAACAACCGATAAAGCGTGTGTTGGGTTTAACGCCGGTTTGAAGAACAGTATTCCTGTTACATCGTGGCGTGTCAGCTTACAGTGGGAGAAAAGCCCGAAGTGATGCAGGTCTCAGACGTTAACAACTTTGGTAAAACACTAGAGCATGGTTATGGTGCTGACAAAACTAGAAACATAATTGGGACGAACCGGGATTCGAACCCACAATCATAGGTGTCTGGCGTGCTCAAGCGAGGCAACTCTGCACAGCAGATTACGGCGCCTTAGACCACCCGTGCCCAAGAAAATATGAAGACATCAATCATACCCTGTCGAGAAGCCTTACAAAAAGTCATCCCTGTGGTACCATAAAAAGCGTGATAAATTGATCCTACAAGAACAACAAGAACACATAAAAGTGAAATTAAAACGGTCCATCTATTTACTGGAGTGTCTTGCCCAAATGATAGATCGGTTGACTGAGATTGATTAAAATGGGTTTTATGCCAAAGTTGAATGTTACAACTATATTATGACAGCGTGCACAGACGATTTAATCCTGCACAGCTCGTACAAAGATGAATTATCTCCTATCTCGACAGTGCCAAACCATTCTAGATAATAGCAACAAGTAAAGTAAAGGGTAAAATATATGTAACATCTATAGGAAATTATCGAAACCTCGAAAAGCATAAGCAAAAACATATCACAATGATATTTTCTTTTTTTTAAATTACAGTAAACTACGGTTATAACGAACTCAAAGGGACTACTAATTTTAGTTCGTTATAACCGTAGTTCGTTATAAGCATGTTTACAACATAACTACAGCAAATAGTCGGGACCAAGAAAGTAAGTTCGTTATATCCGTCAGTTCGTTATAAGAGTGTTCGTTATAACCGTAGTTTACTGTAGTGCAAATCTATCCCTAGCTCGGATACCTTTTATAGTAAACATGTGAAGGACATCTCCAAATTTGACGCATCAGTGACAAAATGATGTGCGATGCAATTTCTTATTTTGACTACCATACATTAGCGGGTTTTGTTCTGGTGAATAATTGACTTGCCTTTGCATGTGTTGTGCCGGATGCACCGGTGAAGCAGGATATCCCCACCTTTTCGCGAGCACGGGAATCATCACTGTTTTATATAGTCGGAATCGTACAATGGACCCTGCTTTCAGCAGAGATATCTTGTGATTATGGAAAGACTCTTTTAGCTTTTATTTATATCAACGTTGACTTGCTCCACGTACATTCCTCTCTTAACGCTGCTGGGTAACGATATCAGTTTGTGTTTTTCACACTACGCACGGTGTCCTCACTTCGTTCCCTACATTATGTTTTTTAAAACTTAACAACAGGGTAAATTGCCTTCAAACGACACGGTTGGCGATCAAAGAAAACCAACCAAGAGATTACTTAAAACCCATCACATATTCTTTACTCGGTCTGCTAGAGTGTAGTCATCTACACTGAAAGGCTTTCGATACGTTTGGGAGCATAATAAATTCATTGTTTTCAGCATTCAGGAGCTTTACAGCAAACACCGGTATATAGACCACTTATCAAATAATTGAAGAGTCTAGTCTGTCTTCAAGTATAGTAAAGATTCTTGTTCGAATTAGTTTTTAAATGAAACAATGATAGCTTGAAATGTCAAAGATGATATCATCTATTTTATGTTATTTCTTGATCGAATTTTCTGTTATTCGTTTTTTGTTGATAGTCGCTCTATGGCTGAAATAATGCCGATGCGCCGTTAAAAATGTTTATTCACTCACTCACTTGTTCGTTGACAAATAGTCATTGTTTCGAAAACGTCGTTGTTGCGATGTTAACGGTATCCAATAATTATGTTAAAGCACTGCTCGCTTACATTATATGGAGGTCGGGGACAAGGGGGATAGCAGTATATGCGTCACGTTGTTGCTTCCTTCATTCATGGTAAAATCCGAATGGGTTCGAATTCAAGATTGACATTGATTATGATCTGTAGTCTCTTTGTCCACTATCGTGTACTTGGTTTTCACCGATATTGTAAACTCCAATGACCTACTTCGGCGTTCCCTCCCACATAAAGCTTACATGCTGTGATATAACTGAATTAGTAGCGGCGATAAACACAACTCACTCACTCTACGACGGTTCGACCAGTCAACATCAGCACGACAATCGTTTTACTTCGGGAATAATGATCGTATGTTCACGATAAAGCAATACATAAACATTTCACAGTAAATACAATCTGAGACATAAACAATTCGACATAACCGACGTCAAATATATCTGCATTACGTCCGATATTGACTATTTTTCAAAAATCTATTTCATCGAATATGTGACTCCTCTGGTTAAAAGGCCAGTACAGAACAGAAACGACTCCATTAGTTTTCCCTGTAGCGTCCCAGCAATCAGTGCACCTGATCCTATCGGAACTTACGTACAATGAGATTACGTCATACTTACGATATATTAAGTGACCTCAACCCTGCAGGTGGAAGGGGACACTGCATGCGCTTGGTGATCGGCTATAACAGGTGGTGACTGACGATATCATCAGGTTGTGTCCTAGAAAGTCTTCCCACATGTACGCTCCGCCCGCACGGAAACGGTGACGAGGCAGATAATATCCATTGCCTCAAGGAAGGAAAGATGATGTTATCATATCTTTACTATAACCTTAATAACGTTGGAATGACAAACGAAACTTTCTCAAGTAATTCAAATATGGCTGGCATTTTTATTTTAATGTGATGTGGGGTTTATACCAGACCACCACTGACATTCCGTTCCGGATGGTTGGGTTTGCATCGTTTCACTGTCGGCGGTTTTTCAGTTTTGAACAAGCGTTTTATTATGCCTCCACGAAATGTATGAATGGATCACGTACGCTGTTAAGTCATATGAAAAGAGCAAAGCGTTGTATTGTGGCCGTCACAAGTACTATTCATATGTCAGAGAATTATAACACATTTCATGGAGTTTCGCTATGAATCTCTGATCTGATCACAGTGTCGTCTAACACGTGCTACCTTCCCATGGCAACGTAAACTCTTTATTTAAAGCCTTCTTTAATAGCCCCAGTCTTTGTAATTCAAATCAGCGTAGTTTCTATCGTATTTCAAGTGACAGTATACGGCCACTTAACTTTGATTTCATATAATGTGCCAGAAAGTATAAATTAACGACAATAAAAACCAATTTGGGACTTCAATGACTGATTCAGTAGTTGACATCTGAAGACATCATTCTTGACTGCACAGCTAGGGCGCCATCACGGCCGACTGTTCACCTGCACTACGGATGATCCCGGATATTGTCCTGCATGTTGACAATGCTCAGGAAATGATTGACTGGTTCTGTAGACATCCGCCCAGTGAGTCTGTCTCTACACGATGCCGTGATTGCGATCATCAAAGAAGAAAACCTGGTTGACACAAGCTATGGCTTCGTAACTTCCGGTTTGTGTTGAAATCCCTGATAGTCCCATAATTTGAAAATTTATATTTTAAGGAATTTGAATCAGGAGTTTTATTGGTCGCAAACAATCTGGTGACTCTTCATGATCGTCCTGCAAGGAAACGTTTTAGACTTCATGTAGTGACACCTTGCTATTGGGACCGCCTCCGTGGTCTAGTGGTAGAGCGTCCGCCCGGAGAAAGGAAGGTCCGGGGTTCGATCCCCGGCCGCGTCATACCAAAAGACGTTAAAAGATGGTACTTGTTGTTACCCTGTCTGGCGCTCGGCATTAAGGGGCTAAAACAAGGACTGGTCGGCTCGGAGTCAGTATACTGTGTCTGAGTGGGGTATTCATGTTAAACTGCGGCATGGTATCTCAGTGAGCTAGCAGTATAAATCGGTATCAATCCGGACTAGTACAAGCAGCCACACAAACACATATAAGTGCAATAATCTTGGACGCGACGTTAAACCCCATTTCACCTCACATTGTTATTGACTCTTTCTATTACATAATACATAGACATTAACAAAGTTGTTTCAATTTGGGGTGGGCCTTGAACAAGTAATTGCTTCTTTTGCAGTTTCTTTCAATATTTATCTATAACGTAGGAGTTTTTTTATATTTCAGACAATTACGGGAAGAGTATATCTCCTTTCTTCTTATTTCTGTTTTAATATATATGTTTTACACATGAATAATCTCAACCTGAGACAATAATGAATTCTCTCCGTTTGACAATGTGAGTACATGATTGCTGGCAACCCGATTATGAATCAATGTCTTTTTTCCTAAAAACATAAAGTATGTTTCATATTTCATGTAAAACTATATATTTTCACAGAAACATAATCGTATTGTTGTAAACAAGGCCCCACATAAACTGACGTAGAGAACCGCATCAATGTTCGTATCCATCGACAGTATAACAACATATAAACAACTGAATTATTATTATTATTATTATTATTATTATTATTATTATTATTATTATTATTATTATTATTATAACATATTAAAATTTAGAATACGTGTCATATCAGCATCTGCTGCAATGGAATACTACTCGCAGACATAGAATGATCGGCTCTTGGTGCCAAAGTGTAAACTCTCACATTACTCTCCCTCTTTATATACTAAAACAAACCAAACATCCTGTTTGTGTTGACGTCCAACGAGAACAATCATGCAACTATGATACCCCCCGCAGAGTACAAGGATCCGCCATGGGCCCTTGGGGCTGGTAGTGTAAACAGTGTCCCCGAGTGGATGTGTGGGTAGGTCTCGTCTAACAAAGCACATTGCTGCAGACAGGATGAGCTTATTTATGTGAGAAATCTTTCCGAGGCTATTATCATCAATATGTCTCCTAACAACTCGTAAAGAAAACGTTGATAAATAAACAGTTGGTCATTTTGGATTGGGGTAATTTATACGAGGTTACGGACCGAAATGTCCATTATCACCAGTTTATGTCAGTGCCTACACACGGATATAGCATGGCTATTTGTTTCTATATCATATACAATAAAGTACGGTTATAACGAACTCAAAGGGACCAGTAATTTTAGTTCGTTATAACCGTAGTTCGTGATAAGCATATATCCAACATATATACAGCAAAAGGCCCATTTGTATTTTCCGTCAGTTCGTTATAAGCGTGTTCGTTATAAAGGTAGTTTGCTGTAAATATGTATACATTGTGATGATGGACGCTCCATACATCTGTATACATTATCAAAACAATATGTTTATATATAACAATATAACAAATCAACTCATCCCAGAATAATATATATTTTTTAATATAAACCGTCAACGCCAAAAATAAAAATGTGTCAGTTATCCGAAAGAACAGATTCCATTGGAAATCTTATTAGTGTAGCACCAGGTCCCACTTGCACAAAGCGATCTTAGCGCTAAGATGATCGTAACTCCCATACTTTAACATAGGCTTACAATAGTCTTAGCGCTAAGATCGCTTTGTGCAAGTGGGCCCAGGTGTTCGTGAAAGGGTAGAGAAGCATTTTCCTACCGGTAGTGCCCTTCGTAGTACATCACGAGTCTGATATACATAAACTGAACTGCCGGGCAAAAGAAAGAATACCCCCATGTTTGATGGCGGCTAGAAATGACACAAACAAGAACTGGAAATTCGATTGCGATGCATTTGATACTGATATCACAGGTATGTTTTGCCCTTAAAGTTGAGGTGTTTCGGCAGCTGTTTTCAGCCTAGTTATGTTTTGATAACGTTTGAATTTTTTTGTCATATCTAATTGTAAACATGAAGTGTATACTTTCATTTCCCCGGGAAGGTTTAAATAATTGATTGACCAGCATTATCTGACTTACTCAAGCGTGCAAGATGCACATAAACTGAATCTCATTTGATTCATTACCTGTTAACCTTTGACCCTTTGACTTCAGTAGGGGTCATCTATGAAGTCCTTTGAAGTTTTTAATTGAAGGACAGAGGCTACCAACCACCACATTCAATTCATAGATAAACGTCAGCAGGAAGGCTGTACAGCTAAGCTTAAACTTTTTACACCTTATAGATATACATTAAAGGCTTTGGGTATGACCTTCATAGCGAACCTTTTTTATAAGCGCTGTCGCGACAGGAAACACCTGAAACAATCCCCCTTTTCCAATCAGCCACCATTTCGAACACCCCACCATACCCCAAGCCCCACCCCAAGATCCCTATCCGTAACCAGCTGTGCCCCCACAAGACAATGCTACGCTCTACCATCTACCTGTTTGTTCCTTCCTGTGGTAATATAGGGTCACCCACAAACCAGTGATGAACTGCCTTGGGGCAGACAATGACACTTAGATCTGTCAACGCGGGTGATCAACAGCACTTTACAGCTTGTCAGGCGATTATGATTACACTCAAGTTCTCATATATACTTTATAAGTAATCATGACGTTAAGTGTAACCGTCTGTCGTGAAGGTAGCAGATGATCCAAACCACTATGACTTGTTTTGTTTGTTTGTTTGTTTGTTTGTTTGTTTGTTGTTTAACTCCGCAAAAAGCAATATTCCAGCTATATGACGGCGGTCTGTACATACATCGAGTCTGAACCAGACAATCCAGTGATTGACATCATGAGCATCGATCCACACACATGGGATCCATGACATGCATCAACCAAGTCAGCGAGCCTGACCATCCAATCCCGTTAGTCGTCTCTTACCGCAAGCAGAGTCGCCTTTTACGGCAAGCATGGGTTGCTGAAGACCTATTCTACCCCGGATCCCGGATTCACGGGTCCAAACTAATATGTCCGGCTATGGGATAAGAACATAGTAAATACGGATATTGAAAACTGTAATTCTAAAATGTATGTTAGAAGCATCATGTGATCACCGTGGGGATGTGTATATGGACGGTGGGAGTATCTGTTGTAGTCCCTGTGGCTGTAGATGTAGAACATGTGCAGTAAAGAATACGCAGCTGAACCCGTAGACGCCATAACAACAGTAGCAGCAGTAGTAGTAGTAGTAGTAGTAGTAGTAGTTGTAGTAGTAGTAGTAGTAGTAGGAGTGGTGGTGGTGGTGGTGGTAGTAGTAGTAGTATTAATAGTAGTAGTAGTAGTAGTAGTAGTAGTAGTAGTAGTAGTAGTAGAAGTGGTGGTGGTGGTGGTGGTGGTGGTAGTAGTAGTAGTAGTAGTAGTAGTAGTAGTAGTAGTAGTAGTAGTAGTAGAAGTGGTGGTGGTGGTGGTGGTGGTGGTGGTAGTAGTAGTAGTAGTAGAAGTGGTGGTGGTGGTGGTGGTGGTGGTGGTAGCAGTAGTAGTAGTAGTAGTCTACTATGGGTTGAGGGGTGATAACCGCTATATTAGTTGTGCAACAGTTAGAGTACAAGCAGTAGCTGTAGAAAGAGAGGATGTGTGTTTCTAGAAGCAGTAGTAGTAGTGAGTGAGTGAGAACAGTTTCACTCCGCTTTTAGCAATTTTAAAGCAATATCACGGTGGGGGGATCCCAGAAATGGGCTTCATGCATTGTACTCATGCGGGGAATCGGACACGGCGCTTCCGGGTGACGACACTTTAACCACCAGCCTACACCTCTATCTCCCTTGAGTCGATTGTACTATTCCGACTGTATCATCTGCATGT